AAAAGGGTGCACAACACAACGGGTAGTAAGGTTCATAAGGGTGATTCACCTTTTTATCCAAAGTAACGAGTCATTACTCATGCTACTCTAGCTATGATTCTTTCTTGTTGGAATAAATTTGTAACTACATGTAGCTGTAGTTTAATTAGCTATTATGAACTGTTGGTGGTGCACCACTTGTTTCATGCCTATAACTTTGTACCATTTCTCATTATTGAACCTCTTTGGCTAAACTCTTTCGAGATGTTTCTCTCTCAAGTCTCCTCCTACCCCAAACCCTAGTCTTAACTTAATCTACTACTTTGACATTTTCTAGCATGGGCTCCTTTTTGACAATAATCGGATGTTCAGAAGACCCAAACAAGTTCAGGATGTCGAGAGAGTTACGCAAAAGTGAGTGATTAAATATACGATGGGGTACAAACAAGAATGCCGAGGTGAGGACTGTAACCCCTAAGGCTAGCCCCTATATAGCTTACATACCTTTATACGCATATGTTTTGACACACCCCTATACCTTCATGCTCTTTACAATGGTGCTCTTTACAATGGTGCTCATTACGGGAACCTAAACACCACTTTTTTGAGTTCCAGGCTATCGTCCGAGCTTCATTTATCTTCATGCAAGTTTATTGTTCATGGCTATTATCAAGGTTACAAGCTGCTTCATGGTTTCTGTCGCCTGTCATTGCTGCTGCATTTCTCAGATCGAGTCAACAAAGATGTTATCGATTCCCATGATTCTACATCCCATGGGTATCTTTTCTCGAGGCAGTGTGTCAATCCCTAAGGATGCACTTATCTCCTCGGGCCTGGACCTGCAACGCTTCGCTTCAAGCACAAGAGATATAAGACAACAATTTTATCGGTGCTCAAATCGGCTCGCTATACAGCCATTCCCGGGCTGTCAAGCTTCTCTCATCATCGCACAATGGCGAAGCCGCGCAGCAACAAGTCTGGCAAGAAGGCAGAGGTTGGTGACCACGGAAAGGAGACGGAGACAAACGTACCTGACGTAATTGTGCTGGACGCTGCGGACAAAGGCCGGCCTGTTTCGCCGGCGACACCTGCTGTGATCGGCCCTTTTGAAGACCTGTTGGATCTGCAAACCAAGGCAGACAATGTCGCTAACCCAGGTGATGGTGCCGCTGCTTGCGTAATCGGTTCTGGAAGCCAAGACCAGAAGTCGGAGGAAGGAGGATCTGCCGATATGGACAACAAGGGTGATGAAGAGGAGGATCTGTCTGATCTGGTCCCTTAGGAAGAAGACGATGGGTACCTGAGCGGCGACTCGGACGAGCACCTGGAGCCTGCTTCGCTTTCCAGTGCTTTAGCCCTGAAACGTTTCTCACTAACCTTGCTGGTGCCGATCCTCAGGAAAGCGGAAGTCAAGCGTGCTGCTGCAACAGTCGCTGCGTTGTTGGACGACTGAAAGGACCAGTTAACTCCGGATGTGCTGCAGACAACAACCTACCAGGATCTCGCGGCGGCTTATTTCTCGGGCACACGCTACGGCCGGCTGCAAGTCACCTTTAACTAAGTTCAAGACGCGAACTTCGTCTGGAATCAAGTCATTAAGCACGAGTGTGTGAACGGGGACATCATCGATCTTACCTGGCAGTTCCCTGAAGACGCGCGTTTTCTCCGTGAACGCGTTCTGAACCCTTTGGCGCAGGAGGTTGTGGTCAAAGGCGTGCCGGCCGAGATCACTGCTGAGCTTATTCGGCACCTGCTGGTTGTGTCAAAGCTGGTTAAGCGCGGAAGAAGCGCCTTCGCCAGCAGTTTTGGCTTTCACCGTACGCTGGAACCGGTTTCTGGGCTCGACACTGACCGTATTCGTGGTTTGGTCGTTCCTCATGCTGACGACGAGTATCGCTGGAGGTTTTTCGTGGAGGAACCGACAACGAAGAAGCGCTATTTGCTCCATTACCCGTCACTCACATGCGAGTTCTGCAGCGGTCCGCATATGTCTCGTTACCATGAACACTATGTTACATCGAGGCAGGAGAACTTCACCAACTGGAACCTGACGGTTAAAAAGGTTCATGAGATGAACGGTACTTGCCGAGCTGCTCCGCGTCCCTTCCCTTTGCAGTACTTACCGCTTGATCCCCTTTTCCTGCCTCATACTGACGGTTTTTTCCTTGCCTCTCCTCGCAGCCGCATCTCTGAAAGCCTCGACCCTCCTGAAACGTACTCACCTCCACAAAATAAATGCGGGAGGAGTGGGTGTGTGTGCAAACCGTGTGCGAGAAGGCGCAGGGGAATCGTCTCGAACAGGCGGCAGCTCACGTTGCATCTGCCATGCACAAGGGGGGACTGCGTACAGACGGAGTAGCAACCAGAAGATGGCTGCTTACCAGAAGGATTACATTGTCAAACCGGCAGTGAAATGAGCAGCGGCCTGGACGCGAATACCATGAAGAGAAGGGAGGCGGCAGCACGGTGGATTGTTGGTGCGGGATGTGTAGTCGGTGCCATGTTCTCTTTTGCTGTAGCTGGTTGTATCGTCGCAATAAAGCTTAACCGCCCATGGATGCTGTGGGGCTCAAAGGAGTGGTTTCATGAATAAACGCAACGTCGTCACAATCCTTGAGCTCAACATCAACGGGCTCAGTAGCAGCAGGAAACAAGGTCTGTCAGAATATTATGCTCTAGCCTGCAGTGGGGTACTCTATAGCGAGTACAACCCAATTAGGGTTTCCTATATGTATGCCAACTGCTGCTAGTGCAAACCCTCCTTTCTTCATTCTTACTTTCTACAGCTAGTTCTGACATGCTATCAGAGCAGGTCGACCCTCCTGGGTCGATCCTGTGGGTGGGCCCACCACCTAAGCCTTCCGCTGCTACTGCTACTGCTACTGCTACTGCTACTCTGTGTGTCGCACGCCTCGTGGCGTGCGACGGATTTTTCATCCCGCCGTGCGCCCCGAGGTGTGCGGCGGTTTTCTGCCCGCCGTGCGCCCCGAGGCGCGCGGCGGTTCTCTGCCCGCCGTGCGCCCCGAGGCGCGCGGCGGTTTTCTCCCCCCGTCGCCCGCCGAAGCGCCCCCGGGGACCCGCGCGTCGCCCGTGCGCGGCCCGTACTGCACGAGCGCGGCCCGTACAGGCTGCGCCAGGCCCGCGCGCGGCCTGTCCTGCACGCGCGCGGCCCGTACGGGCTGCGCCAGGCCCGCGCGCGGCCCGTACAACCCGCGCGCTGCTCGTACGGGCTGCGCCAGGCCCGCGCGCGGCCCGTACGGCCTGCGCCAGGCCCGCGCGCGGCCCGTACGGGCTGCGCCTGGCCCGCGCGCGCCTCGGGCCGCCTGCGCGCGGTTCGTACGCCGTCCCTCGCGCTTCTGACGGCGCCCCACCCCTGCTGCTGCCCGTACTCCTGAATTAGGGTTTGGGGGTGGAGCGTATGGGGGTGCCGTCTCTGTCAGCCGTCCCCTGCTCCTCCTCCTCCTCCGTCTCCCACTGCTGCAGCTGCTGCTCAGGGGGGTGGGTGTGTGGGAGCCGAGGGTTTAGGGTTTAAGGGGGGTGACGTGGGAGTGGAGTTAGGGGTTGCAGCAGGGGGTGTGTGTTGGAGGTTGGGTGGAGGCAGCCGTCGTGTCGTCTGCAGCGCCTGTATTCCGGGGTTCTGATAGCCACCGGTAGCTCAGAGAGCCGGTTGCACCTGTCGCCCGTGGGTCCGTTGCTCCTGTCGCTGCTGATCAGACGCAGAGCCTGTTACTCCTGTATTCCGGGGCCCTTGCTCCCGGTAGCCACTAGAGTTGCACCAGAGCCGTCTGTTGCCCGTGTGTCTGCAGCTTCAGTCGTCGTCTCCACTCTTCTCTCCTCTCGCCAGCCCTCCTCCTCCTCACTTGCCCTCTGTAACTGCCTCTAGCTTTGCTCATAATTGTGCACTTTAAACTATTGCTTCTTAAACTTGTGCTCAGAATGTGTGGTGACATTGTGATCCACCCTGAGCTTGTACTGCTTTGCTTTCTCTGCTGATTACACCCCACTTTGGCTATGGGGGTGTGTCAGAATATTATGCTCTAGCCTGCAGTGGGGTACTCTATAGCGAGTACAACCCAATTAGGGTTTCCTATATGTATGCCAACTGCTGCTAGTGCAAACCCTCCTTTCTTCATTCTTACTTTCTACAGCTAGTTCTGACAAGGTCATTGCGGAAAATGGATCAGTAAAGTAGCGGACATGGTAGTACTCACAGATACGCGCGTCCCAGCCGATCACAATTTCTGGACGCAAGTTAGATCAGATGCTCAAGTGGTGGTCGGACCATCGCAGAGAGTAGGACGTGTGGCGGTCTTGGGTTTCCTGCCAGGGATGCAGTTCACGGCGGTCGTTGAACATGAATTTGGTCGGCTGGTCAGTTTAATGGTGGTCTGGCATGATCTGAGATGCAGCGTGGTACCAGCATACCTACCCGCGCAAGCTCCTGCTATATGCGTTTTCCTCCGCGATGTATTGACGCCTTTTGTGAAGAGTCTAGGCGCCTCCCCGCACACTGGGCTGCTTGGGGACTTGAACATCGTGGCGGACCCGGAGCTTGACAAGTCTTTGAAGCTGGGTACTCTGGCGGAAAATCAGCAACTCCTGCAGATATGCTCGAGATGGGATTTGCAGGACGCTTTCCGATCCCTCCACCCAACCAGGAAGGAGTATACGTTTTTCTCACGATCTGCAAGGACAAGCACAAGGATAGAAAGTGTATTATTCTCGCACTCTCTGCTTCACTGCGTAACGGAGGCGAAGCACAGAATGGTGCCGTACGGTTTGACTGACCACTGGTTCGCCGTGCCGGTATCGCTCAAGTCTGCATGCGGATGATCATGGTCCTGGCCTGTGGAGACTCCAATCACCTCAGTCGGGAGGGGTGGGTGTCAAGAACATCATATCGGCGGTAGTGGATGCACACGCGAGCTAGCCGGTACAGGGACTGGAGAGGTTGGTGGCCAACCTGCGTGCAAGCATGCGGGCTCATGTAACAGAGGATAAGGAAGAGGGTGAAATCGACCATGGTGCACCTGGAAACGAAAGTGGAGGAGCTTCGATGGAGGGTGATGTCAGACCCGTCGTCACAGGTCCTGTATGAAGAGTTGGTAAAGAGTGAAGCGGCTTTTAAACTGTACCAGGACAGCAATAAAGAGCACCTGCAAGTCATGACAGGGATGCTGTAAGAACTGGCAGGAGAGACTCCATCAGGCTTCCTGTCGGGGTTGGTCAAGTCGAGAAAGGCGAAGACGGAAATAGCGGAGTTAAGTTTCAAAGGGATACTGAGGAGGGGGGCAAGTGAGGTGTTGCATGCAGCCTCTGAATACTTCCGCGAGGCTTATGCGGCTTCACCTCTGTCCTCCCAAAAGGAGTTGTGGTTGATCATGGAAGGGAGGAAATTGCAGGAGAGTGACCAATCACAGCTGGATAAGGAGTGGACGGAGCAGGAGGTGATGGCCGCGCTCAAAGGACTACCAGTAGGAAAGGCACCAGGACAAGATGGGCTACTGAAGGAGTTCTTTGAGAGAAACTGGGAGCTGCTTAACCCGGCGGTGATGCGAGAGGTCAGGGACTTTGAGCTGACAGGCAAGCTCTCGGAGTCCTTCACGACGGCGGCCACAATCCTGCTGCACAAGAAAGGCGACAGAGAAAATTTGAGCAACTACAGGCCGATTACACTACTGAGCTTTTCCTACAAGTTGCTGGCGAAGGTGTTGGCGAACAGAATCAAGGCGGTCTTACCACGGGTGATTGCGGGTAACCAGTTTGGCTTTCTCCCAGGGAGAAGTCTTGCTACTGCGGTCTCGTTGGTGGCTGATACGATTGATGCGGCAGAGCAGGAGGATGAGGGCTGGCTGCTGTTGTTGGTGGACTTCCAGAAAGCCTACGACTCTGTGTCGCGGAATTACCTATTCACAACACTGGACGACATGGGCTTCCCGAGGAAGTTCACCGGATGGGTGAAGGGTCTTCACGATGGAGCGGCAACCAGGGTGCTGCTGAATGGATGGATGGGGGAGCGTGTGGAGATGGACAAAGGCGTGCGACAGGGTTGTCCACTCGCCCCGTACCTCTTCCTTTGCACGGCTGAACCACTCTGCCAAGAGATAGAACGGAGGAGATTGGGGGTCAGGAAAAGAGGCGTGAAAGGGGAGTTAGCATACATCGGGTATGCAGATGATACGACTCTGGTCTTGAAAGGGAAAGACCAAGTGGAGGCAGCTCGGAAGTTGCTGGAAGACTTTGCTGGGCTCTCGGGGTTGAAGGTGAACAGCGACAAGACAACACTAATGCCGTTGGGGAAGAACAAGAGAAGGTTGCAGCCGACAACGTCGCCTTTTACGTGGGCTGACAAAGATAGGTCGGAGCGGCTCCTTGGGATTTGGATCACATCAGGAGGGTCATCTGGGCCTGCGTGGGACAAAGCTTTCGAGAAGATTAGTGCGGTTTTAAGCTGGTGGGAGACGAAGCATCTTAAAACGTCAGCACGGGTTACAAAAAATCAACAGCTACGCGATGCCGATCTTACTGTTTCAAGCACAGATATACGCCCCGCCGCACGACATCTGGACCAAGGTGAAGCGGTTGTGTCACAACTTCATCTCTGGCGGGAAAGCGCTTCTCGATAGGCATTTCACCCTCTGGAGCTACAAGCTGTCATGCCGGGGACGGAAAGAGGGAGGCTTGGGGGTGATAGATCTGAAACATCGGATTGATAGCACCGTGATTCAGAACCTGGGGAAGGCTCTGGCGAAGCAGGACCCGCTGCGGAACTGGTTGTGGGAGAGAGCAGCGAGTTTCCCACTCAGGTTGGCGACGGTATACGCCCATCCTTCGGTGCTGAATCACTGGTTGAGAGGAGGAGTGAGGTGGAAAGCGACAGTGAAGGCTTTGTGGGACTCAGAAATCATGGTTATCGGCGACCCTGCGCACAGGTGGGACGCGGAGGAGGAACAATTTCTTTTTAATCAGAAGTTTTTCTTCAGGGGCAGGTCGCCTTTTGGGAATCAGGCGGGCTCGCGCTGCTTGAAGGGAGTCAGGTTGGGGGATTTGGTGGAGAAAGAGAGGGACGGCAGCAGAACTCTCAAGGGTGAAGCGGCTCTGGAGCGAAAACTGGGTGGAGAGGAGTAGAGAAAGTGGGCCCTTAAAGCGTGGGATGCGGCACCGCAAGGATGGAAAGATATGGTACTTGATCGACTGTCGGTAGAGGAAATCTTCAGGGAAACGAGGTTAATCTGCTCGCCGTCGTACCGCCCTGGAGAGTTTCTCTATTACCAGCTGCAGCACATGGACGGGGGCGAACTGTACGGGCGCAGGGTGACAGTGGATAAAAGGGGCTTCATAGCGGAGGTGGAATACGCCATTGTAGTAACGGTGGACTTTCGGCGAGCTACACCTATGGCGGTCATAGATGGTAGAGCGCGCGGCCCTCTTGGTACTCCGAGAACAAGACTGCTCTGCTTTCCGATTTGTGACAAGGGGGAACGAGCCGAGCTGAAGAAGCTGAGGGAGGCGATGAAACCCCCAGCAGTTCAACCCAAGCAGCAACTGAAGTGGGAGGAAGAGATGGGGAGGAAAATTGATTGGAGGAAAGCCATCACGGTTCGGGATTCGATTGCAACCCCATGCAGGGCGCGCGAGGTGGTGCTGAGGGTGCACAGCAATAACCTCCAAGTGGGAGAGAGACTCCCTTTCTTGGGCGCGAGAGCAAAGTGTAAACATTGCGGTGGGGTGGAAAAGGCACATGAATATCTACAGCAAGGTGCGGAAAAGGACGGCTGGCAGGAGTGGGAAGGAAAGGACAGGCGACTGGGGGCACCTGTTGACGAGGCGGATGCCATGCGCAGACTCTATGAGAACGAGGCCTCGATGACGTGGACGGCGGGTTTCAAAGTAGTCTGGGAAGATGGCGGGGTAGCTATTCAACCTCCATAAATGGATGAGGGGGGTTTAGGGTACCAGTTTCCCTACATGCCCTCCTAGCATCAGTTACGACTGCGGATGTTTGTGTACGTGTAGTGTACTTATGTCCACCAAAAAAAAAAAACAAACAAACAAACAAACAAACGAAGTCACCACACACTCTCAGCACAAGCAAATGGCCACAAGGCCAGTCCACATGCATAAGTATATAAAAGATAGCAAACAGTACAGTAATCACTACCTAGCAAGAGTAAGCATGCAGGTATATATAGGTCACAGTATAAGCAAAGTCAAGCAGTGAGCAAGTGAGGCAAAGCAGGGACAAGGCCTAACACGGTACAGAAGCGCTGATGATCACCAGGCGGAAGTGCCTTGGTGAATATATCAGCAGCGTTGGCCCGAGTGGCCACGTAAGCAAGACGAAGCTGACCACGCTGCTGCAACTCTCGAGCAAGGAAGTAACGCAGAGTGATGTGCTTCGTTCTGTGCTCCAGTCTGTGCTCCTGACACAAGGCAATAGCAGCCTTGTTGTCTACGTACAGAACTGGAGGAGAACGAGGCCTCTCTCCCAAGTCAGTCAGCAGGTAGGTGAGCCAGCGTAACTCCTGAGCAGCCATGGCTGTGGCGTAGATCTCAGCCTTACAACTGGAGCTGAGAACAGAAGACGAGTGAGTAGAACGCCAAGAAACAGAGCAGTAGCCAAGGCTGAAAGTGTAACCCTGTGACGACCGCTGCGTAGCCAGGTCGTCAACCCAAGACGCGTCAGAGTGTCCAGTGAGGACAACTGGACCCCGTCCTCCAAGCACGAGCCCCATGGCCGATCTACTGCACAAGTAGTGCAACATCCTCTTAGCAGCCTCCCAGTGCTCTCGCATGTGTCTCCCAGGCGCAACGTAGCGTGCCAAGATGCCAAAAGTTAGTCAAGGTCAGGTCGAGTGCAGGTCATCAAGTACATGAGGCAGCCCACAAGCTCTGGATATGGGCCACTCGGCTCTACGGACTCGTCCAAAGGTGGAGCTGAGAGCGAGTGACCGGTAGCCAGAGGAGTGGACTGTGCCGAGGACCAGGTGAAGCCGAAGCGCTGAAGGACCTAGTCCACCATGTGTGACTGAGTCAGGGTGATGGTGCGCCGTGCTCTGTCCCGGATGATCTGCAAGCCAAGGTAGCTGCGTAGCTCACCCAGGTCTATGCACGTGTGTCTCTTCTGCAGCTCCGACTTCACAAGGGCCAGCAGTGGCAAAAGCCAAGTTGTCGACGTACACGAGGATGTAGAACGGTGGCAGTGAAGTGTCGGTGCGGAGTAACAGCGACGGGTCTGCAGTCGAAGGAGCAAACCCAAGTGCCGCAAGTGTCGTCCTCAGTGTGTCGTGCCACTCACGAGGCGCCAGGCAGAGACTGTAGACTGGTCGTCGGAGGCTTCACTGAGTACCTGCAAGAAACCACCTAGTGAAACCAGGTGGACGGCGCAGCCAGATCTCCTCGTGCAGGCTGCCCTGTAAGAAAGCTGTGCTGAAGTGAAGAGAGTGAAGCTCGTAGTCACGCTGAGCGGCAACGTGCAACAGCACCCGAAGAGTGGTCATCTTTGAGGTAAGGGAGAAGGTCTGGAAGAAGTCAACTCCCTGTCGTGCAACATAACGAGCCTTGAAGACAGGTGGAGAACCCGGCGGCCGCTTCCAGGAGGGGGAACTGCGTTGATGTAAGTGCCTGTGGACTTCCAGGATGTCATCTCTGCATCCATGGCTGTCTGCCACTGAGAGGAGTAGGGACCCGAAATCACCTCTTCATAAGAGCGCGGGGTCGGGATGTCTGGTGCATTCTAGTCTCCCTCAGGGGCAAGGAGCATGGCCACGAGAGGAGGTACACCAGCTGCAAGACACTCAAAGTCCTCTTGCCTATCGTCAAGGACGTCCATGCCAATAGCACACTCACCCCCGACGGAAGGAGGACAGACAGACTGAGACTCAGCAACAAGACTAGCGGCGTAGTCGAGACGACAAGCAGCAGCAAAGTCAACAAGCTCAGCGACTAAGGCAGACGCAGCAGCAGACTCAAACGAAGGGTTAGTAATAACAGTGGCTAAGGGACGCGTAACAGTAGGACTGGCAGCACGAACCAAGTCAGACTCAGGGTCCGGAACGTGCGGAAGAGAGGACGCAGGAGGAGACAGCAGGGGAACACGGTGTGGAACAGAGGAAGGACGAAGTGTTCTGGTGTGAGTGCCAGGGACAGGAGGAGGACGCTGACGAGGAACACGACGACCAGTGCGAACAGGGTGAACAGGTGAGGCAGGACGAGACGCAGGCTCACGACGCTCTGTAAGCGAGTCGGTCTGCTCAGTGTAAGGAGAGGGAGCAGGCAGTGGGGAGCCTGGCTGTCACAGGAGACCAGTAGAAGTTGGGAGGCTAAGAACCTGGCGAAGCACCGAGTCAGGCGGCGGTAGAGACGACGGTGACGGGGGAGCGAAGAACAGTCGCGACTGTGCAGTACCACCAGCACCAGCTCCTCCAGTACTAGTACCAGCAGCTCCAGGGCCTCCAGCAGCTCCAGAACCTCCAGCACCAGCGCCTCCAGCTCCAGTACCTCCAGCTCCAGAGTCCGCAGCACCACCAGCTCCGGCCGCTCCAGTACCTCCAGCTCCCGCGTCTCCAGCCGCAGTGCCTCCAGCCCCAGCAACGCCACTACGAAAACGGCAGCTCTGAGCGTACCACTCGCGTAGCTGTTGCGGCAAGAGAGTTCCTCCAGAACCTCCAGTACGAGCACCTCTAGGACTAGTAGTGCCAGCACCACCAGCACATCACCAGTACCGACAGCACCACCAGCTCCGGCAGCTCCAGTACCTCCAGTACGAGCATTTCCAAGACTAGCAGCTCCAGCTCCTATGGTACCTACAGCACCTCCAAGACTGTCAGCTCCAGGCTCCACACCCGCAGGTACAGCACCCCCAGGCTTCGCACGCTCAGGCTCAGCACCCCCAGGCTCCACACGCTCAGGCTCAGCACCCGCAGGCTCAGCACCCCCAGGCTCCGCACGCTCAGGCTCAGCACCCCCAGGCTCCGCACGCTCAGGCTCAGCACCCCCAGGCTCCGCACCCGCAGGCTCAGCACCCCCAGGCTCAGCACGCTCATGCTCAGCACCCGCAGGCTCAGCACCCCCAGGCTCAGCACCCCTAGCAGCACCAGAGTCACCAGTGACCTCGACAGGCTCAACCAAGGGGGTTGGGTCTACCTGAGACACACCTGAAGGAGCAGGACCATGAGGGGGAAGGGGGTCTACCGGAGGGGGACCTGGAGCAAGGAAGAGCGGCAGTGCGGTAGGGGAAGAGATGGTAAAAGGGAACCGACTCGTCAAACGTGACGTCCTGGGAGGACACGGCGCGAGGTGGGGTGGTAAAACTGCCAGCCAGGCGTGTCAGGGGGGAAGCCAAGGAAGACACAGGGAATGGCGCGGGAGGAGAGCTTGTCCGCGGAGGTATCACGCACAAAGGCACGAGCGCCCCAGACCCGGAACACCGACGCATCGCCAACCTTCCCCGTCCAACGCAGTGTAGGCGAGGTCTCCGGCAAGGAGACACGGGGCCAGAGGTTGAGCTGATGCGCAGCGTACCGGACTGCAAACGGCCACAAAAAATGGGGAGCAGCCGCATGGATCATGGAGGTACGAGCAACTTCAATGACTAAGCCAATGCGGCGCTCAGCAACCCCATTCTGCTGCGGGGAGGCCGGAAGCGTGAACGACTGGAGGATGCCCTCCCCCTGACAGAAGTCCCGCAAGAGGTCGGAGGAGAACTCACCACCTCTGTCAGAGTGCAGACGCAGAACAGGAAGGTCCGTGCGGAACTCTTCACGGAGTTGGAGACAGACAGCGCGGATCCAAGGGATCAAGACATCAGGGACCTCCCCCTTGCTGCGCAAGGGGAAGACCGTGGTGTAACGCGTGTAGTCGTCGACAACCAGTAGAAAGTACCGCTCGCGGTCCAGTCCACGGATGCGGGCTAGGCCCCACACGTCCATGTGGAGAGTCTGTAGGGGAGCCTCTCTCGAAGAGAACGAGGAGGAGTGCGGAGCGGCGCGCTGCCGCCCCTCGACGCAGGGAAGACAGGGCGGGGCATGCGAGCGCGGGAGGGGGGGCAGAGACCTGGGAAGACCAGAGACAAGGAGGCGGGAGTGCATGCCACGGAGGCGTGGCAGGGAGGGGTGACCAAGGCGGTGGTGCCAAAGGAGAGTTTGGTGCGAAAGATGGCAACACGAGCAAGGGGTGGCTACCTGACCCGACGCGGAAACCTGACCAGAAACAACTGCCTGAGGAGGTGCAGTAGTCAGTGTGTACAGACTCGACCCTGTCCGACGTCTAAACGTGGCCAGGTGACGGCCAGTCCGGGAGCACGTACAGATCGCCACACGCTGCCCTCGAGGGATGAAGGTATCAACCAACTCATCCTGGAGGATAGCGGTACTCACCAAGTTCGTCGAGAACGAGGGGAGGTGGAGACCTGACAGCGGGAGACGAGGGGAGGGGCCAGACGGAACTGCCGGACACGGGAGAATAGTGGTGGAACGAGGAAGAACAGGGCCCCCTGAGGGGTCAGCTAGAGAGACTGCAACAGGTGCAGTGAGTGGTGTAAGTGTGGTACTATCACAAAAGAAGTAGCAAGAAGCAGCTGAGTCAAGCGTGAAAGTGTGCAAGGCCTTAGAAGACGCAGTACCAGAGAGAGCAGACTCACAAGCACCTAGAGCAGCAGCCTCCATACCTGGGTCGGGCGGCACACACAGGTAACAGTCACCCTCAGCACTAACAGTCAATGCAAGAATAGCATCAAAGCCCAGAGCAAATATATCCATATCGCGCCTAAGCAAGTCTGCCAGCGTGGGAGCTCAGGTGCGTCAGGAAACTGTGCGCACCAGGCGTCGTCAAGACGGGTGAAGCAACGGTACTCGGTGTGAAACTTCCCGCATGTCTGACCAATGCGGTCACCTGTGCGAATGACATACGGGCAGCGAACAGTACGCTCAGCATACCACTCACGAAGCTGCTGGGGCGTAAGGGTCTCGCGCGGACTCTGCTACTGCTGCTGCCTCTGGCCACACCAGAGCCTCCCCTCTGAAAGGCGCCACCAATGCGGCCACCACCGCCGCTGCCGCCTCCACCTCCACCGCTCCCACTGCCGCCACCTCCGCCGCCTCCACTCCCACTGCTACCACTGCTGCCGCCACCGACGCCTCCACTCCCGCCACCACTCCCACCGCCACCTCCACTACCTCCACCACCCCCGCCGCCTCCACCACCGCCCCCCCAACCGCCACCTCCACCACCCCTGCCACCCTTGCCATTGCCGCGACGCTTCCCACTAGGAGCAGGAGCAGCGCCGACCTCCTCAGCACCAAGGAAGTCAACAGCAGCAGCAGAAGCATAGAAGGGGGCAAGGGGGGAGGGGGAACACCCCTCAAAGAGGGGAGTGCGAGGAGTGCCACGAGCAGCACCTACAGCGACAATGCTTTTCTTTGCTGCTAGGAGGTGCTTCTCGAAGTCGGCGACAGTGAGAGTGGTAGGGTCTAGGGCGAGAAAGTGGTCCCTGACCGTACGAAGAGAGTCAGGGAGGCGGGTGACTAGGAAGTAGAGTGTGATGTACATCGGGGGCGGGTTCGCGTCTAAGAACTTGGCTGGAAAAGCGGCGGTGGGAGATGAGGAGGACAGCTCTGGGAACAGGTAGGGCAGGATAAGGCGGCTGAGAGCAGCAGTGGGAGGAAAAGAGTAGCGAGCGACTACAGCGGCGTATAGGTCCTTAGCGGTCTTGTGCTGGCCGAAGTGAGCACGTTCAGCTAACGGCAGATGGTTGCGAATAGCTAGGCGAGCAGCAGCGTCACGGGTCTGCCACTGTGAACGAGTGTGGCTGTCAGCTGTGTCAGAGTTGTTAAAATCTAGCAGCAGGAATGATGAACTAGCAGCATGCAGGAGTACAAGTAGTAAACCCTAATTGGGTTGTACCCCATATGGGCTACTCTACTACAGCCTAGAAAATATGCAGCATATATGTTTGACACACCCCATAGGCAAAGTGGGGGAGAACAAGGGGTCACACGACCAGTCAAGAGACGCAAAACAAGCTCAGGGTGGATCACAACGTCACCACACATTCTGAGCACAAGCAAAGGGCCACAAGGCCAGTCCACATGCAGAGATATATATGCAACAATAACAGTACAGTGATGACTACCTAGCAAGAGCAGGCATGCATGTATATATATAGATCACAGTACAAGTAGAGACTACAGCAAGTGTGGAAACGTAGGCACAAGACCTAACAGGGTACAAAAGCGCTGATGATCACCAGACGGAAGTGCCTTGGTGAATATATCAGCAGTGTTGGCCCGAGTGGCCACGTGACGAAGACGAAGCTGACCTCGCTGCTGCAACTCTCGAGCCAGGAAGTAACGCAGAGCGATGTGCTTCGTTCTGTGCTCCAGTCTATGCTCCTCACACAAGGCAATGGCCGCCTTGTTGTCAACGTACAGAACTGGAGGAGAACGAGGCCGCTCACCCAAGTCAGTCAGCAGGTAGGTGAGCCAGCGTAGCTCCTGTGCAGCCATGGCGGTGGCGTAGATCTCAGCCTCACAACTGGAGCCGAGAACAGAAGACGAGTGTGTAGACCGCCAAGAAACAGAGCCAGAGCCAAGGCTGAAGGTGTAACCCTGTGACGACCGCTGTGTAGTCTGGTCGTCAACCCAAGACGCGTCTGAGTGCCCAGTGAGGACAGCTGGGCTCGTCCCTCCAAGCACTAGCCCCATGCCTGATGTGCTGCACAAGTAGCGCAGTACCCTCTTAGCAGCAGCCATGTGCTCAGGTCGGTGCCGACCAGGAGCCACGTAACGAGCCAGAAGACCAAGAGGGTACGCGAGGTCAGGTCGAGTGCAAGTCATCAGGTACATGAGGCAGCCAACTAGCTCTGGGTAAGGACCACTCAGCTCTACGGACTCGTCCGAAGGTGGAGCTGAGAGCGAGTGACCTGTAGCCAGAGGAGTGGCCTGTGCTGAAGACCAGGTGAAGCCGAAGCGCTGAAGGACCTGCTGCACCATGTGTGACTGAGTCAAGGTGATGGTGCGGCGTGCTCTGTCCCGGGTGATCTGCAAGCCAAGGTAGCTGTGCAGCTCACCCAAGTCAGTGCACGTGTGTCTCTTCTGTAGCTCCGACTTCACGTGGGCGAGAGCCTCAGTGTCAGCAGTGGCAAAAACCAAGTCGTCGACGTACACGAGGATGTAGAACGGCGGCAGTGAAGTGTCAGTGCGCAGAAACAGCGACGGGTCAGCAGTAGAAGGCGCGAACCCAAGGGCCGCAAGCGTAGTCCTCAGTGTGTCGTGCCACTCACGTGGCGCCTGGCGGAGACCGTAGACCGGCCGCCAGAGGCTCCACTGGGTACCAGGAGGGAACGACCCAGTGAAGCCCAGGGGGCGGCGCAGCCAGATCTCCTCGTGCAGGCTGCCCTGCAAGAAAGCTGTGCTGAAGTCAAGAGAGTGAAGCTCGTAGTCACGGTGAGCGGCAACGTGCAGCAGCACCCGAAGAGTGGTCATCTTCGGGGTGGGGGAGAAGGTCTGGAAGAAGTCTACTCCCTCTCGCTGACTGAAGCCTCGAGCAACGTAACGAGCCTTGAAGACAGGCGGAGAACCTGGCGGCCGCTTCACCCTGAAAATCCACATGCCACTGACGATGTTCGCCCTAGGAGGGGGAACCTCGTCGACGTAAGTGCCAGTGGACTTCCAGGATGCCATCTCTGCGTCCATGGCTGTCTGCCACTGAGAGGAGTACTCACCCGCGATCGCCTCAGCGTAAGAGCGCAGGGTCGGGATGTCTGGTGCATCCGGGTCTCCCTCATGGGCAAGCAGCATGGACACGAGATGAGGTACAGCAGCCGCAAAGCACTCGAACTACTCCTGCCTGTCCTCAAGGACGTCCGTGCCAAGAGCGCACTCACCCCCGACGGACGGAGGACAGACAGACTCAGACTCAGCAACAAGACTAGCGGCGTAGTCTAGACGACAGGCAGCAGCAAAGGCAACAAGCTCAGCAACCAAGGCAGACGCAGCAGTAGACTCAAACGACGGGTCAGTGACAACAGTGGCTAACAGACGCGTGACAGTAGGGTGCTCAGCACGAAACCGGTCAGACTCAGGGTCCGGAACGTCAGGCAGAGAGGACGCAGGAGGAGACAGCAGAGGAACAGGCTGCGGAGCAGAGGAAGGACGACGGACTACGAGGTGTGCGCTGGGGACAGCCGGCTGACGCGAACGAGGAACACGACGACCGGTACGACCAGGACGAACAGGCGAGACAGGACGTGACGCAGGCTCACGACGCTCAGCAGGACTACCTGTCTGCTCAGTGTAAGGAGAAGGAGCAGGCAGCGGTGAGCCAGGCTATAACGGAAGACCAGTAGACGACGGGAGAGTAAGAACTTGACGAAGAACAGAGTCAGGCGGTGGCAGAGACGACGGAGACGGCGGAGCGAAGAACAGTCGTGTCGGCGCAGCTGCACCAGTACCGGCAGCTCCAGCAGCTCCAGTACCTCCAGCAGCTCCAGCACCTCCAGCAGCTCCAGAAGCTCCAGCCCCAGAACCGACACCTCCAGGCCCAGGGTCTCCAACCTCAGTGTCTCCAGTAGCAGCACCCCCAGAACCAGCACCTCCAGTCCCAGGGTCTCTAGCCTCAGTGTCTCCAGCAGCAGCACCCCCAGAACCAGCACCTCCGGTCCCAGGGTCTCCAGCCTCAGTGTCTCCAGCAGCAGCACCTCCAGACGCAGCACCCCCAGCCCCAGCAGCTCCAGTACCTCCAGTACGAGCACCTCCGGGACCAGCAACTCCAGCACCTCCAGTAGACAAAGGACCAGCACCACTCCTAGCTCCAGGGACGTCAGCAGAAGTACCTCCAGCAGCAGAGCCCCGGGCTCCAGCAGCGCGACCCTGACGGCGACCGTACCAGTCGTGCAGCTGCTGTGAGGTGAGAGGCACACGTGGACGAAGGC